GAAGAAAACCTAAAGAAAAAACCGCGTCAAAACATGTTTTCTTAGATGACGCAATTTTTTTTTTTTTTTTTTTTTTTGGTAGGAGAATAATTTCATGTAACAAACAAACGAACAAACAAACGTCAAAAACCTCAGGAGACGAGGGTTCAATGAGTAGCGGTACAATTCCGGTAATTTAACTTCTTTACCGTATACACACACGCACACGCACACGATTCGTATCGTTTACATTACGTTGTCGTCTTTTTTGTGTTTTGTCTTCGTGAAAGCAAATTAAAAAAAAAAAAAAAAATGGGGGGATTCGGAAGCGTAATTTTTATTTATCGCCAATCATTTGCCACACGCAATATTCAATATGTACGCATTTTGGATTGGGAGGATGAAAATCAGTTGAAAAAAATGGCGGTCGGTTGTTTGGTTTTTTTTCGATCGATCTTTGACGTGATAATATAATATATATGTTATGAGAATGAGTAATTATTATTATTCATCAATTGAAATATCAGACTTTGTCACTACTACCCCCCTTCGACTCGGGCCGGAACGGAACGGAATTCGAACTCTTATAAAATAAACGATTGATTTGATAAAAGTATTATTATTATCGATAAGGCAATGTTTGGCTCACTAAACAATCAAAACTAAATTTGTATGATTGATTTTTGCAAAATCCATTCTTTCAGACCGAAAAAAAAAAACCTAAACAAAAAACAAAAAATGATGATGATTTTTTTTTTTTATTACGGCTGAACATTTCATAATGTTGGGGGAGAGGGAGGGGAAAAGGGTCACAATTATAATTAATACTAATCGAGTGAAAATTTTTTAATCGCTTGTTATGTCGCAATAATAAGAAAAAATTTTGAAGGATTGCTTCAACATGAAATGTCAGGGTGGTAGGCATCTGATGAAATTGCGTTTAAAAAAAAAAAAAAAAAAAAAAAAAAATTGTGATTTACTGGACAAATAAAAAATAAAATTGATGATAATGATAATGTAGTAAATTAAAATACTGTTTTTATTATTATTATTATTATTTATTTTCATCTCGACAATGTTTTCAGGCCGTTTAATGGTTTCAGTTCATCATTCATTTCATTTTTTTTTTTTTTTTTTTTTAAATACTCTGGAAAAATTTTTGCGGTCTTTTTTTTTCTATTTGTTTGTTTGTTTGTTTGTTTGTTCGTTTGTTCGTTTGTTTGTTCGAGTTCAAATAAGGTTAAAAAAAAATAATAAAAAAAAGAGTACGAACTCGAATGAAATATAATTGTTTCCGCTTCCCGACGCTATTAATTTTTGTCAATTGCGTTACACAAAGAAAATTTTTTTTTTTTTATTGTCGAGTTATTTTTTAATTATTACTTATTATTATTAATAATAATAATAATAATAATAGTTCAATACTTTGAATAATCGTGGAGAAACGGTAGCGGTGGTTTGTGTCGATAAATAATGTTTAAATAACAAGAATGGGTAAAAAGAATCGGATGGGACGTTATTAAGGTTTGACGCGCGCGTGTGTGTGTATGCGTGTGCGTGTGCGTGCGTGTGTGAATCGTCCATGTTTTTTATTGTTAAGGTTATAAAAACACTGTTTTTACGTAATTATAAACCATTGTTGTCGGATGCTGGGTACTCATCCGTGTTGAGTACAAATAAGCGCGCAAACTCTCGGGGGAATAAATTTTTAATAATGTCGACGATTAAATCAAAATGAAACAAAAAAAATAAAATGGCGACAAAATTTTTAACGTTAACGTTTTGTTAATTCGGTCCGGGGTAAAAAACAAGGGGGGAGGGGAGTTTCCAAAAATCGCAAAAAAAAAAAAAAAATTTTTTTTAACCTTTTACGGAAAAGGCAATGGCGTGAAAATATATATATGTATTATATATATTTAACTCGAACAATTTTGGCAAAAGTGAATTTTGCCAAGGTAAGCAAGGCAAAACTTTAATTTCCTATTTAATGTAACAGAACAGAACCGAACACATTCGGTCGCGAAGCCTTGCGGGGGTTTTTTTTTTTTTTTTTAACGTTAGCAGCTCAGCCTGTGTCTGCCGCAATAAAAATATTATTAATAATAATAATAACGAAAGGGATATTTAATTTCTTGCGACATTTTTTTTTTATTTTTTCTCACGAGATTTCTCCCGGAGGCTGTCAACCTTTCAAACACCCACGATGAGATTTTTCATTTCTTTTATTTATTTTGACATGTCAAGTTTGAATTGGTTCGAAGTAGGTTGCAAAGGGAGTAA